TGCGGCGAGGAAATATGGAATGTCCCGTAGCGGGAGGCCTATAAGAGAATTCTCCGCGCGGGCTTACGTAAAAATCCGTCACGGCGTCATTTATGATCGGTGGTTCTTCGCTACAACGAGAAGAGTCAGTGTGAACGTGTGTTTGCTAAATATAAAGTGCGTCTTGGATCGAAAGAAAAAAAGGACACTATCGATGCACCGACGAGCAGAAAAATGCAGTGTAGTCCTCGGTAGCGCAAAAAATCGCGCCATCGACTATAAATTTCAGTCTCGCGCTTTCTCCGTCGGCTGGCTGGGTTTTTCGTGTATAGTTATATACAGGTAACACATTTATATGCCAAGACAGGCCATGTGACATCGCCTCGCGCGCTACACATGTAAAAGAGCGTCAGTCGTCGCGAGAAGTCACGCAGCCCCGCTCACCTTTTCATGAAACCTATCCTATGCAGGATCTATTTGCGTCCTTTGCATAACTATTACGCTCTCGCAATCATCGTGGCTCTGCTGTACGCGTAATCACGATAATGTGGGCCACTTTTTAGCCTGTTTAGATACTAACCCAATCTCGCGAGTGTAATTTGTACTCGTGACCACCGGAAAATGGTATTTTCTTAAAAACAAAATAAAAAAAAAAGGCAATAAAATTCTTCTCTTGAGCAGATACTCGCGCGTAATTGCTTGACTAACTGCAGAATAGCTCGCAAAATTCAGAGCAAGCTCGAGAAGATTGTCGGAATCTTTCGGATTTCACCGTTAATTTGTTCCCCTTTGACCACAGTGCATTTTCTGCTATGTCGAAATTAGTTGTGTAATTGGCAACAAACAAATAGGCACTCATCGGATCTTAACATGGACTCAACAAAATTAACATAAAACAAGTTTATTCTTCTACTAACACCTTGAAATATAATGAAAAAAGAAAAATCGTTAGGAATTTCGAACAAATATTCACTGCATTTAAGGTGGCTCGTCAGTAATCATAACAATAGTACAGCGAGGCGTAAGTCTGTCTCTTTCTCGCATTAGGCAGGCAACCGCTCGCACTATAAGAAATTAATGATTTTACACACATTTTGTTTAATTACTCATTAGTTAGTTCGATAAGGGGTAATTTTTAACATACCAATCGAAAGGTAGTAACTTGAAGCATAACATACTCATTTTTGGTTAAGATCTGTTGTTTAATAAAAAAGTTATGGCGTAAAATGTATGAAATTTTGATGGCGTCCCATAAGAGCCCATGTTAAGTTTGCTATTTTCAACGGCTTCGTTCTCAAAAATTAGTTCGATAACCCATGCTGAAATTTCTACAGCATATCAAGGGCACTTTTAATGACATTTCTGCAAAGTTTCATAAACATCTGTTGTCGACCCGTTTTACTGATGAGCCACCTTAAGTCATAAATCAAGTATGGTATTTACTAAGCATTTGATCTTAAAATAAAAAAATATAATCTTAAATTAATTGAATCAGAGTGCTTGTTCCGAATGGAATTATAAGAAAACCACATTTTAGCAACAGAATCAACTAAAGATGTCGTACAAAGTTTTATAAATGAAAAAAATGTTTGTCACAAATGCCAAAATTGATTATCAGATAAGTGCTGCATTGAGGCTTATACCATTAGTAAAACAAACTTCAAAAATAATTTTTCGAATTTCCTGGTATAATTAATTTTTTCTAAAGTCCTGAATATATATTTAAGATTTTGTTGCAACGATTCGTATATGGTTGATTCTCCCGAAATCTGCTTTTTCGGGTATGGAAAACGAAAAAATGGTGAAAATTTTTTTGTCATATTGAACGGCGCGAACTAGTTTACCCTTTTTTAAACTATAAAATATGAATAATTATTGAATCTGGGGCTTTGAGATTTCGTTTTACGAAAACTATGTCCGATTTTATGCTTAAAATCGACTATTTTCGGTTACGGAGGTGACACACACGGAGGTGACAAATCGCTGCTTTGATCAACTATGTAAGAAAAATAAGAAACGCACAAAATTTTCCGCACAACCCGAAATTTGGTCATGAAAAACGAGTCTTTTGACGGGGCGAGCGGTTAAAAAGAATGATCATAGCTCGAGATATTCATGTCCACGGAGGTGACCGTTTTTTTGACACACGTGAATTTTTCAATAGAATAATTATCGCAGCATCGATAAAATGTAAAATTTGAACCCGCAACCTACACCAATCGAAAGCTGGGCTATAATACTTGACATTTACGTATCTAGCGACATCAAAAATGAGTTAGCGACCCAAAGCAGGCGGTATGTTTGAAATTATTCAGAAGCATGATTAAAATCCGAGACATTTTTCAATTGCGTGGGAAATTTTTTTAAAACATTTTTCAAAGCCCTATAATAGACTTAAACTTTACTCTGGATGTATAGAAGCTGGTCTCATAGTTATTATAGGGTCAGGTGCTAATGAGAATGCATGGTACATGCAAATAGAGTTGATTTTGAGATGTAGACATGCCACGGAGGTGACATTTGGCATGCATATCTTCACGGCAAATTTAACTGACCCTAAAAAATTGAAATATTTATGTCCTATCATGAAGAATATAACAATATTGAATGAATGACCGAGCCAGTTTTGGCTCATCTTCACTAGTTTAAGAATATGGCATAAAGACATGCAAAAAGCAGATTTCAGGAGAATCAACCATATCTTATGATAAAGGTAAAGACGGCTGATACATTTTCATGCTGGTTTTTTTACTATTGCATTATACTTTCCTTATATCATAAAATCAAACCGACTTAACTCTGCTTGTTCTGCAGCACTTTCATTTTCAATCTCCAAACACTATACGAAAAATGCCGTCATATACATATAATTAATGCACATTTGCACTTCGCCCCCAGGTGTTTCGAAAGATGATAGTGGTTATAATGACTACAAAACTTTCACTTGGGTAGGTTGCACTATGAGAAAGAAGAGAATATTTTTTAGATTCACTGTACACTGAAACATAAAATATAAATATTTGAATGAACTTTTTTTGTAAAAGGATACTGCTTTATGAATTAAATAATGTCAAGATACATAATAAAAGATAAAACTTTGTGTAGAAAATCCAAATTTTCACTGCGTGAATGCAACTCAATTTTATTGAAAATAAAACGCTTAGTAGAAAATCGATGCATTCAGAACTTAAGATTTTACTGTTTTAACTTTTAATTCATATTCACATTCATATAACTCATATTTCATAAAAATGATAAAATTATTGTTTGAAAATTGTAAATAGTAAGTCAATAATTCCAAACACGTTTAGGTAATTTTATTTTGTGCATAAAATTGAAAAGTAATTTTGCCGAGCTGAAATGAAATTGGATTAAAAAAATATTTAAAATTCTTAATAAATTAACAATCGTAATAAAACGATGAAACATACTTATCTTTGAAAGTCAATTTTTTAAGCTGTAAGACGATTTTCGATCGTTTTTAGGATATTTGAAAAAGAAAAAATAAAAAGAAAATTGTTATTGGGGATGTGTGAATTTAAGAAACCCGGACTTCCGCAACTCAATATTAAAAAAATACAAAATCCTATAGATATATGTTGAACTTCTCGCTCTTCGTAATCGAAACCTAACTCGTAGTCAAAATGAGAAGAGCCTCATGTGAGTTCATGCACGCTTTGTCACGTAGAAACTACACTTACATATGTAACCCCTATATATCATTTATAACTATATATTGATTATTGTCTCCATCGAAACAGTTTTCAAATAAACAAAAATATATAAAAAAGGGGGGATGTGTGAATACCCGATATACTCGGGTCGTATCGAGTCGTGTCGGGTTCGGGATGACCCGAAACGCGGGTAAACTCGAAAAATCAGGCAGCCCGATACACTCGGGAAAGCATGAAAAATTTTTTAAAGTAAAATTTTAGCTCATAGATTGACACATCGATTTACATAAATACATACAATTCTAAACCCAGAGACAAAGAAAAAACGAAAAAATTTGCTTCAAAGTTGATTGAAATTTTCAGTCAGTTAAAAAAAACCTTGGGTCGGGACAAAATGTTGGGTAGCCGAATTTTTCATAGAAAATAATAATTTTTATCTCCGATAATGCGATGTAATTGCTCAGAAATATCGTAAAAACTAACCATTTTTATCATTTGCCCTTGCAAATAATTATAATTCAAAAAATATTCGAGCTACTAGAACTAAATTCACTTTAAATATATTTATAGAGGCCTTGGTCTGAATTATTATCTTCATTACTATACTGATTGAGTACACCGTATTTAATAAACATCAAAAATTAAGTTTGTAAATGAGACGAACAATTTTTTTCATCAGGTGCTAGATCATACAGATTCATATTTTAATTGTATTTAATTTAACTGAAAGTATATCAGGATTTTTAATAAAATTTTGAATAAATAAGGAGTATATCATAGTACTAAATCATGGTATAAATATCTAAAGTTTTCATCTTTTTATTTAATATTTAATATTTTATCAGTCTTTATAAGTAATTTGAATATTCTCAATTCAAATAGTTAATAAAAACTAATGAAAGGTAAATGCTGGAAATATTAATAAATTATTTGATACGTTTCTTAATAAATATTATAGTTAATCTTAATGATTATTTATTTAAAATTCATTCAGAAAAAAACGTTAGTTGTTCAAAATACATTTATATAAAATAAATATGAATGTGTGGTAAGAATAATCTTAAATTCCGCTTTTTTCGGACTTTCTTTAAGAATCTTGGTAATTATCATTAATCAGATTAATGAAAATAATACGTCCAAAATCACATAGGTATTGTTTCAAAACAAATTATTGGCTATTAAAAACACAAACTAAAGTAAACTGATATTTATCTCCATTTCTTTGACACTGAATGAAATGAATAGATGTTCTGATGTAAATTTATCTAATCTCAAATAGATAAACAATGATTCTGGATAGGGGTATCGATGCACTACGGTTAAAAATCGTCGTCAGTTATCAATAACTTGTTCATACAATGACACCTTCAAGAATCGTAGGTTTGACGGTAGCTTGCATATTGTACATCTGTAATGGTAAGTCATTACATTTCGTTCCACAAATCCAATTCCAAAATCAATTTCTTGAAATTATGTCCTAAAAGCTTATATTTAAATTTGATCAGTTAAAAACCAGTGAAATAACAAGTGAAAACCTCGCTAAGAATTTTTTTATCACTTTTTTATGTTTATGAAAATTAAAACAAGAATATTTTCTACGTAATATTATGAATATATTATAATCGTCGTAGTTTCGGTGCTATACTAGCATTCATCTTTTAAATATCATCATAATAATTCAAAAATTTTATACTCCAAATATCAATAATATACTATGGCAATCGTTAAATGAAAAGTTGAAAAGCAACTTAATTAAAATTTCTCAACCAAGAATTAATTTTTTGAAGCTTTTACGAATTGTTGTAAACAAATAATTACTTTTATAAATTTCTTTGTTAATGCTTTCTTCTAAAAATACAAATAATCAAAATTTAATTCGATCACTACTTTTTTCATATATATAATTTTTAAGAAATACACTGTGATTATTTGGATTCAAAAAAGTGAAAGGTATTTCCGTTATCTTAATTTGAAAATTATGAATACTTTTCAATGTTGAGAGAATGATTTCATCTATTATCGTAATGAACTTAATCGGAAGTTTATGAGTGTATTGTACAACAAATTCCTGAAATTAAGATAAACATCTCGTTTTATTCATTTGATATATAATGATAAAATAAAATAACAGCTATCTATACATGCGATTAATGGAAATGACATGACAATGAATCAATAAAATAAAAATAGAAATTCAACTAAAAATATTTTCAAAAATAATATGCCAATGAATTATTAAGTTCAAGCTAAGCGAGGCGTTGGTGACAACACGCAAGACTGGGGTTACGCCGAGGTTCGCCCTGGAGCCCATATGTTCTGGTGGCTGTACTACGCTAATGTAACAACGGACTTTGCTGAAAAACCTCTGGTTATTTGGCTTCAGGGAGGTCCAGGGGCTTCGTCAACGGGCTATGGTAATTTTATGGAACTTGGGCCTTTAGATGTAAATCTTAATCCTCGTAATCATACCTGGGTAAGGAATTATACTTATAAAATTCATTTAGAATTTTTCTTTATCTACTTAGTATATAATTATGTTCTTGATTTTGTCAAAAAGTCAAGTCATTTTTTCACTAATCTAATTGAAATTACAAGAAAATGAATTATTTATGACTTCATCGTAAAATTATGATAAAAATTGTATATCATCTGTAAGAACGTTTATTTTCGGATAAGTTCCATATTTTATCACTGCAGTTAGTGAGTTCGATTTTAATAAGTACATATTCAGACATTAAATATATTTAATAAGTTAATTAATTTTATAATACAAAACAAATTCTGTACTAGGTAAGAGATTACAACGTTTTGTTTATTGATAACCCGGTGGGATCAGGCTTCAGTTATGTTACATCATCGGCTGCATTCGCGAGGACCAATGCTCAAATTGCCGACGATTTGGTGGAATGCATGCGAGCTTTTTACAAGCAGGTTCCACAGTTCAGAAATGTACCAGTTTATATTACATCGGAATCTTACGGTGGTAAGATGGCAGCTGAATTCGCATTTAATTGGTACAAGGTATTTTTTTACTTTTTTTTGTATATAACTCGAACACAAAAAATTAATGTAATTCAATGCCTACTCTTTTGCTTAGGCTGAAAAAGCAGGATCTATTAAGAGCAACCTAAAGGGTGTAGGTCTCGGTGATGCTTGGATCTCGCCCGAAGATAGTGTGATGACTTATGCTCCATACCTTTTGCAAACTGTACAGGATAAGCAAATGAAATCATTGTTTACCTCTAAATTTATTCCGGATATGATTGATATACGTTTTTTAATAGGGCATGGTTGATACCAGTGGATATTTTGACATACAAAGAGCAGCTAATAGAACGAGAGATGCTGTAAAAACAAATCAGTGGTCACTAGCAACAAACCTTTGGGCTTATACAGAAAATGTTATTATGCGAGTAACCAGAAATATTGATTTTTATAACATTCTTACAAAAGTCAGAACTAGTCAGGCGATGCGAGTTTTTCGAGATAATGAAGAGAGTGCTAAAAGTAAATTGAATAAATGAATAAACTCATTGAAAGTTTTACTAATTTTCTAAATTTATTTATTTTAAAGGTTTGGTTCGAGAAACTGTATTACGTGACGGTGAAGGACTAAATATGTTGATGAATACGAAGGTCAAAGATACTTTGAAATTACCATCAATCTGGGGTGCTCAAAGTGATAAAGTATTTAATTCGCTCTATGCTGATTTCATGAAGCCTGTAACTCAAGTAGGTAAGTCAGTGATCATATTCAATAATGTGTTAAAATTTATAATTTTTCTAATTCTAAAATGAAATTCAAACCATGTATACATATTCACATCGATAAAATTAATTTTATAATATGTCAGTTCAGCGTTTACTAGATGAAACAAATCTCAAAGTTTTTGTCTACAGTGGTCAATTAGATCTAATAGTGGACACACCAGGTATATTTTACTGCTTCCATTCTAATATTAAAATTACTTCTATAGATATTTCGAAAGTTGAAAAATTAAAAGTTTTTTATTATAAATAGGCACCCTACTTTGGGTTGAAAAAATGAGATGGGCAAGGTATTTAGAATGGAAAACAGCGCAACGTGTGCCAGTCGTCGTTGATGGAGTAATCGAAGGCTACCAGAAGAGCAGCAGTAACTTTGCTTTCTACTGGATCAATCGAGCGGGTCACATGGTGCGTAAAACAATATAATTTTTATAGTTAATATTGATAGCCAATTATCTACAAAATCGACGAGTAGAAGCGTTTTTTTTTAATTGAAACTTTCTATTAAGTCCAAAGGTTATAGAAAATTTCAGGAGTACTACTGACACGAAAAATACGCTCATCTAGCTGAAGAATAGTTTTTTATCTGTGTCAAAATTCCTCGATTTAAATGATGCGATAGAATCTTTTTTTCCTTTCCATTGCATTTTTCAAAATTCCAAAATTTTGATTATTCACTGAGATACAGCTATTTCCGTGAGCCTTTTTTGTATACTTTTCGAGTTAAATTTTTTCTTTTTTTGCGTTTTCTGGCGTTTTACGTTTTTGCAAAATGCATCTCTGTTGTCGTAATATTCAGAGCGAACAAATTGAGTTAAGGCACCAGGGTCGCGTACACGTCTTCAGAACATCAATGATTGCGGTCGCATTTTGCAAAAACGTAAAACGCCAGAAAACGCAAAAGAAGAAAAAATTTAACACGAAAAGTATACAAAAAAGGCTCACGGAAAGAGCTGTATCTCAGTAAATAATCAAAATTTTGGGGTATTGACAAATGCAATAGAAAAGAGACAAAAAATCCTATTCGAAAATGAATTAAAATTTTTTTCGACTTTAAGCTACCTGTTAGCCTTTAAGAAACTTAAACCTTTCAAAGTTATTAAACTTGTGATTGTAAAACTATTGCTTTTTTTAACAGGTTCCTGCCGATAATCCTGCTGGAATGTCCGCTTTGCTAGCAGATTTGACTCAAAATTGAAACGGTAAAAATTACCCTATAGTCCAAAAAGTGAAGCAATTTAACACAAGTGCATATAACTGAGTTTCAAGTATGTAACACTGATTTATGAATGAATAATAAATATTTTTCAATTAAATAAGAAAGAAAATTATTTATGCTTTTTACTTTTTATTGAACTTTAACCTAAAAATCGCAACTTTGTCTCTACTCATTAGCTTATTAGCTATAATAGTAGATTACATGCCTAGGGAGCGGAAAAATAAAAAGCTTCAGAGCACGTGTAGTTATCGCATTCGGCTGGTGATGTAATCCTTCGTTTTGAAAAAAAATCATAGCCACACTCGTTGCATAAAGTACTATTATACATTTTATTCCAATACATGTAATATTTTCTTACTAGAATACAGGAGTAATTATCCAAGGCAGCTTATAATAGCTTCTATTTTTCGTGTATTAATTTTATGTTATTATTGTTCGCAATAATGCGAATTCGACGTACTCACGTCAAATTTCGCGCCAACGCAGAATGCGCTAATATTTAGACTAACTTCAGGGACCATTAAAAACGATATGCATAGAACGGTCGAAGCGCGCGCACTCGTTTTTGGCTGATTCGACAAGTACTCGATTCTACGATGGAAGTATGGAACGCTGGAATTTTCTATGCTTAAACACGTTTCACCACTCTGTTGGATCAAACAGAATCGATGTTAACCCAGTGTACGTATATATTCGGTTCCATTATATATCTCCTTTCCTTACACGCGCAATGAACCTATTCTGCAATGGAAAATATTTAAAAAATCTCACTAGTGAATGGCCCAAGCGGAACCCAACGTTATTAATTTTACAAGGTATTTGTAATTAACATTCTCTAGATGTTAATACGTTCTGTTATTAAAGCGTAGTCATTTCCACGATTTTGCTATACGTATCGACGTACTCATGTAGCGAAACTTATTTTCATAAGTGTTAGTGAGTATACACTTTCATTATAAATCAAACTTAACAATTCATCAACCTTTATCAGGGTTTAACTGTTTACACATAAAATAATATTTCCTCAATAGACTCAATTGAAGTCTATAATTGAGCATTCACACAGTGTGTACGTCTGTACGTCTGTGTATGTGTGTGTAGTTGCAGGCAAATGTGTAAAAAAATAATAAAAATTATATAATCACTGCATTAGATTCAGGTGGGCCCTTTACATGCTAAAATTTCTTATTCTTTCTAGGGCGGGGGTCTACATGTCTCGTTCGCTAAGCGACGTGCGTGTCGCAGCACGTTAGGCAGAGCGCTTAACAGCTATGTAGAGCCACCCTAAGCTAGTAAAGACTTGAAAGTAAAGTAGGATTTTGGAATGCATAATCGCATATTGGCCTGCGCGCGCAAGCATGAATAAAAAGATATAACCTTTTCTACTTGCGCAGACGCCATTTTCAGCTTTAGCAGTTAGTTCTCTATTGCCGCGTGCTCGTAGAAAGTTTTCGTTGATATTATTCTTATTTCTGACTCGTAAGTTGAATAGAAATAAAAAATATTCTGCTATACATATTAGTTTGTGGATATTGGCTTTTTTTACTCGTGTGATAATCTAATTTATGTTTTCGTTGATATTTTAATTTAAATCTCATAATTTCATGGTGTAACTAAAAATTCATTTATTTCTATTCCAGATTAGAGTCTAAATGAGCTGTCATGACTAATCGAGGCAGAAATAGCTTTGAAAGAATGGAGAAAAGGTTAATAAAAGTATATAGCTACTTTCCTAATCGCTGACCACGTTGATGACATTTTTTTCGAATCTAACTACTAATGAACAACGCGTGGACTTCGTTAACCTCATTCAATTTACATGGCTCATTCCAGGGCAACTTGCAAATAATGGTGAAAAATAAGTTTCAAATACGTTTTGATTTTCTTTGATTCATTGCAAATCACAGTACTATTAACACTTCTACCAAGTGTAAATTGATTTCATGCGTCGTTGTTCAAAGGTACATCATTTCGTTGAATTCTTTTTATTCAGTTTTAATTGATGAATATGAATGTATGTAATGAATAGAACAATTTTTTAATTTCAGAATGCTTAAACTTGCGCAACTTCATCAATGAATATGAGTCCATGAATTTAGCACTTGTCGTTGAACTAATGCAATTTATTAGTTATTTATCAAATGAATTCATATCATTGCTTATTGGAGTAACTTTTTATAAGGATTTTATGTAGTCAATGACAAGTTCAGATGCTGTGGAGATGCTATGAACAATAAACTTTTGAAGGATTGCCCTTTCCCCTCTCCCTTTACAGAAGCTGATCGACGATAGCAGAATGATTTCTTGAGTTTTTTTAAGTTTTGATCATAGATTTAGTTAGGAAAAGAAGACAAAGAAGGATTATTCATAAAAGTTATATTTTTATATTTACAAAACATTTTCTACATGACTCATACAAATACGTACAATTACATCACAGTTGACATTATTCGAGAGGGAATAATTATATACAAATCTATTTACACATAATCATCCATTTGAGTGGGTGTATTCGTTTAAGATATACTACACAATGAGGAAACTTCTTTACCTTTGACTACTTTGGGCAGTGTAGAAAAATGTTTACGTTTTAAATTAGGTTTGATAGTGGCAGGGATTAATGGATGTAATTCCTGTTGTTTATCAACAGTTTCAATGACTTTTTCTACTGTTTTAATGCTTTTTGCTGTTACTGACTTTTTTTCTGTATTTATTATGTTAAGTTTTATCGGGTTCAACTTAGGGACAATTTGAATAGCTTTATCAAACTCTATGTTCCCATCGATGGTACTTTGCATGGTAACTTTAGTACTGTCCAGCACGCCTCTAGGTATTTCGTCGAATTCCATTTCTGAAAAATAGAAAATATATATTAGAAGGAATTACTTAAAAACCTGAATGAATAGAATAGAATAAACAATAATATATCAAGATTTCTAGGCCACGAAAAGAAAATAATCCCGAGGCACTTGCAATTAGTACCGAAGGCATAGTAGATAGTAATAGAAACATGCACTGGGATTGTTCGCTTAGTTGAAGCATGTATACTTAATTTTATGTACTGTAAATTTAATAATTCCGTTTAGAACAGCAGCCAACGAATATTACGCAGGGGCGCCATGAGCATTAAAGATAAATTAAGATCATAGACTACTGCGTTGATGAAAAGTTAATTTAAAAAAATTGAGATCCTCATATCAACACTGCTGACAAAAATTGTATAGTACTATTAGTTAACAATTTTGCTCCTTTTTCGATATTAAACATCGCACTTTCCGATATCGTACTTTTGAGGTTAGCCCCCGAGACAGCGAGGATTATTTAATGTATTTGGTGTTCTAATCATATTTTTCATCATATTTAAAGTAGATATGATAAGGTAATTTCAATATTTTCATTTCGACTTAAGAGTGCCCTCAATTGCAAATTTGATTTGCAATATTGATTCTTTAAAAACCCGGATCATCACCGACGAAAAAAAATTACCCTTTTTTAAGATTTGGATCAATCTAACATGTTGATATTGACATTAAATTGGAAAACTAAGGTACCGTTCTCATAAAAGTTCCTTCGATTTAAATTTACAAAATAATTTCTATGAAAGTAAAGTATGCAATATTTATTTTTATCACAGACGGACGAATCATAACTTTATTTTTAATATCACAATTTATTATCACAGATCTTGGATGTATTAACACTATACCTGAAATGTCCATTGGTTCCTCCTTTATTTTGACACCATGAAATATTAAAGGTACGTCCTTGGGGGTTTCCAGGACAGTTTTTTGAATACTCCTGGATAATTCAATTTCTTTGCGTCTTGTTTCCAAAATTTTTTTGGTATCATTATTTGAAGTGGCATTAACTTCATCGTCTGAAGAGTCCTCAATCTCTTCTACTTTAATTATTTTAGGTGCTGGTTCTATTACTTCAATATCATCAGAATTTTCAGTCCCGCTATTTGAAGATTCATTCATAATTGGAACATTGGACTCCAAAACATGAAGTTCGACAGTTTCATTCGCTCCATCAGAATCTGAATCTTTCTCAGTTTGATTCACAGGTTCTTCCCTAATGAAATTTTCATTCATATGAATAGCCTCACTTTTTTCAAGCTCCACTGTTAAATCTACTTTAGATGACTCTTCATCATAGAATTTCTGAAAACATATGAAGATTAGATTTTTATCTTAAAACATTATTTACTTATTAAAGATTAGTAGATATTTTAATTAAATTTGAAATGAAAGTAAAAGGAGATAAACGATTCGTACCTTGTAATCTTCCAAACATATTGGATGCAAATTTTTATTATCATATAAAATGGTAGGTTTGTAATGCCATTCTTCTAACTCCTGATGGAAATACACATCAAATTTATCGTAACACATGACACAAGCTGCATCATCTAAATTGTTGCTACATTTGACTGAAGGTTGCTCCGTATCATTAGTTATTTTTTCTTGAATATTCTTCATCTTTGCAGCTTCAAAGAAATTGGACTCAGTACTTGCAGGCGTTTCTTCATCTTGTTGTTGTTGCCATTCTTCAACAGTTTTATAAAAACATCGACTTTGCATAATCGATTTCGCTAATCGCATTTTGACATTTTCTTGGAAATGTCGATCATAATGATCGGAAAGTTTGAAAGCCACATCTCTATGAAATCTTTTACCACAATTGCTACAAGATTGGCCATCGTATAGCTCTTTGACAGTTTTAGCGGCATTTTTCTTATTTTTAATAAATTTTTCATCAAACGACGGTATTTCTGGCGCAATTGAATCGCTGCCAGAGGTTTCTTGCTTTGTGCTGAATGTATTTGAGCTTGGGACGATCCCAGTGGCTATTAATTTTTGAAGTAATGCAAGAACATCAACTGGTTCATTAATCTTCAATGGACTGTTTGAACTGAATTCTCTACTAGCCATGTTAGTAGGATTTTTTAATAACTGTGATGACTCACCACTTACTAGTTTTGAAGGATTCATTGAGACTTGGGACTTGACTTTATTCAAACCCAATTTTTTATCTGTATATAATTTTGGTTGCACAGGTATTGCCTGTTCACCTTTCATTCCAATGATTTTTGTATGACCTGGAAGTACGTTCTTTGGAAGTTTTGAAAAACGTAAATAATGTTTTTTATCATTCAGTATTATGGCTTTTTCAAAACCACCAAAATCCACTGGGAACGGTTTTCCATTTAGTAAAACCCTTTTTAAAGAGTCCACAAACTCCAGAGTACATTCAATGTCGCCAAATTGCACTATTTGTGGTTTAGCATCAAGAAATATTGTTTGTACTTTGCTATGATCAATAATTAAATTAATGCTGGCTACTACCAGATCAGTTTTATGACCAATTACGACCTTTGGTACAGGTCCATGTAATGATGCACCAATCTCTTCGTTGCCAATGGTTACCTTAATTTCTTGACCATTGAAATGACTTTGGAACCACTCACCATCGATGTACAATTCTCGTGTAGGTGTGCCTAGTTTTATCATATGAACATTTCCATCAAAATATAGTGGCATTTCAACATCATTAAATTGAAGCTCTATTGTTGATTTGTTTACTTGGAAATATCTGGTACCCTCTTGAAATGTTATTATTCTTGGATCATCATTAGCTAAAAATACAACAGCTGTATCCCCATAGTGTCTAATAATTCTTAATTGTCCGTCCAATATAATACAAGACATTGTATCAGATTTAATTCTTTTTAATAAACTCATATCAGGCGGAGGCAGCTCAATCTTACTATTTCCACTATAATGAATTATTTGTGTATTTTTTACAGCTCCAAGTGTATTTATTGTCATGCTTTTCGATTCTTGTTTGCAGTTAGGTTTCATTTGAGACTGGGACGATTGCGATTCGGGAACAGAAGTATTCAAGGCATTTAATGACTGAGGAGCAATAATATTTGTTGATGGCACTGTATTTATCCATGTTGATGATTGGTGCTTGTTTCCAATAATGGTTTTAGGCATTTGTTGACTATCAACATTTAAAATAAGCCCAGAACTCTTATTTTTTATATCAGTTGCTAATTGATTTCTTAAATGTGGTGTAGGAGTAATTCTTGAATCTATATCTTTATTACCAAATAAACTGCTATTGACTCTTCTAGGTAATTTGGCATTTTCAATGACTGTTGATTCCGATGAACACCTTTTCGTAGCATGTCTGTTGTTGTTGATTTTTAAAACTTCTGAAATTCAAAAAAATATTTATAATTATAGGATCAAAATAAATTTTAAAGATAGCTCATATGAAGCAAATGTCTTGATTTTATGAAAATACTCAGAATGGAAGAAAAAATCTATAGAAATCAAATCTCAAAAGCAACTTAGCATTAAAAATATTTTTTTATCAGAAAGCAAATTAATCTTTAAGTATAAGTAGACATTACGGATAGTGTCATGATGTAATTTTTCAGATGACCTTTTTGAATTTTCATCTGTAGAAGTAGAAAAAGACAAAGATAAAGATTCCTCCGATTTTTTTGAATACATTTGCATATCTGCAAATTTATAGTAAGTTCACAATCAACTTGAAAATATAATACTTTACATGTATTTAAAGTAACTGCATTTGTTTATGTATTACCTTGTGACTTTATTTGTGGATGGTATTCATCTAATGGCCATCCTCTGTCCAATTGGTATATTTCGGTGTCCAAGGGATATAAGAATTTTGAAGACAATATTTCTGTCCATGTATTTCTCAATTTATGAAGAGACTTCCGGACACCCTCCTTTCCCTAAAAGAAATAATTATAATATGTTCATGTAATGTAAAGTATAATGCAAAGATGTAGCGTAAAGTTTATGTAAAAATAATTGACTGTTTTTAAAAATAACTTACCTCTTTAAATACTCGAACAAAATTAGCTCGTAAATTTTTGCTGAATAATGACAGATATATCCCAGGATGATTCTTTATAATAGAATCTATGAGATATAAAACATTTAACTTATTTGTTTTGTTTGTATCATCAAAATATTTCTCAATAATTTGGACTATTTCTTGTGAAAAAAGATGATATTCATCCGCTAAGTTAGTTAATGTGCTAATGAGTGCTTTTTTGTTTGACTGTAAGTCCCCAAGGGTGGACTCAAAACTTTCCCTGTCTTGAAAAATTACATCATTCATTTGTGACGATGAATCTTCTGTTGTTGCTGCAACATCATCTATTTGCATGTAGTCTAGGGTGCTGATATGAGCTCTGAAAAAATAAAATACCAAAATTAAAGCAGATGATTAGAGGAAATTTATATGAAAGTAATAATCTTAAGAAGGTCCAGTCTACATAAGCGGGAATGGCTTTTAATAACTTAGAATGCGTTTTGCATACTACTGTATGCGGCTTCTGGTCGCAACACTGTTAACAACCGTGTATGTTTTAAATGAGGAATTATCATCAGAGTATGCTTTACGCGACAATATTTTCGATTAGTGGTTGGTGATATAATTATTACGATGGTAATTCGAAGCTCGCATTGACATTTTTCATTGAAACTAGTCTTATACTTCGCTATAACTGCAACACGTGTTGCCAGGTCGATAATATAGATTTTACAGAGATCTACACGTGAACACATGTTATATTAGAAGACTTTAGGTTTTACTACATGGTAAAAATTTTTTACTACACGGTAAAAATTTTTACTACACGGTAAAAATTTTTACTACATGGTAAAAATTACTACATGGTAAAAATTTTTTACTACATGGTAAAAATTTTTACTACATGGTAAAAATTACTACATGGTAAAAATTGAGGTTCTGAGTGAAATGTTTATGATTGCAAAATTATGTCGTTTGTACAGATTACACGAACCTATTGTCTTAATTATTAATTATTAATAATTAAACCTATTGTCTTAATTATTGTATTAATGTGAAACATCTATAGAGTGGTGGATCTATAGAGGTGCACCTATTACTGTGCCTCCGGTCTCCGTCCATGTGTCCGTCCGAGCGAGCGTAACTTTGATAGCTGTAATTCTTTTTTTAATTTAAACTACACAAGTTTCAAAAATAGGGCTTACTGTTAAAAGTCATGTGTTAATTTAAATAATGTTAGTTCAGACACGAGGTTTATATTATTCGATTAGCTCCATCAATATCAATAAATACAATTGTTAACAGATGTTACATATAAAATAAAATTGTTTTTGTGCCACCCTAACCTAAAATAACATACTGCTCTCGCCGAGCGAAACCTAAATATTACTTTAAGCTGGGGAATTCACAAAAAACTGTTCACAAAAAATAAAATATACTATAATTGGTAACTTTACGTAAATAAGACAGATTTAATCCTTCGAATAAATTTATAAATTATTAAGAATAAGAAAACGTCGTTAAAATCAAGTACTTACGATTGATTTCTTGGTTGTTCATGCATGATGAAAATTTTGAAAAATCTAATTTTCTTAAGAACAAGAGTTGAATTTGTTAATCACTTGTATATTGTTAGTGTGTTGTTGACTCAAAAATGTTGACACACTTTTTATTATTATATTAAAGAATGTACACTTTGGAGTATTTGGAGTATAAATGAATGCTTGTTGCGTGTTCGAGATACTACGAGCGACTGATTAAGACGAATCAAAATGCACAGGACAGAGTAGCCATAGAACACACATATAGGTAACAATATTAGAAGCGCTAGCAACATTTCTTTCGTTTTCATGCACTAATTACTTTACTGTGAATTCCTTGCGCATGCCCAATGCACACTTGTTAAAGACCAGCGCTCTCAGAAACAGAACCAAAGTGAGCGCGAAATTCAAATTCGTGTAAAGGTATAATTTAAAATATCTATTGTGAAAAAAATTTTGGCATTTATTAAATTAAAAATATAATTGCTGACACAATATTGGAGTGATAATCATATTTATTTTAATAAATAAAAAAAATATTTTTACAATAAATATTTTGAATTAAATTTTTATCAGGGACAACGGCCGCATATGTCACGAACACTATAATTGTTGTATCAATTGTTAAATTTTTACTTGAACGGAATTTTAAAAATCTCAGAAAAGACTACAAATGGTGTGGTCACAGAGTACAAATTTTGTGTTACAAAAACTGGTTGCTGACTGATAATCGATTTTTAAATGATGTTATTTTTTAAACATCAGATACTTTGGCTATCAATTTGAAAATATAAATATCAAACCTCTAAATAAAAGGTACAGCTGATTGATCAATTTCATGACAAAGGACAATTGATTGGAATTTTGGCAATGATACTGGTCATCCTATACCTTTATCATGGGCAATTTATTCATCAACCAGATACTTGCTCACATTTAATTCCAAACAGAGGCTTATTTTTATGCTCTCGATGTTCATATTTTGTTCAAACAAATGGAATGAAAAAGGATCTGCTTGCACCTTGAATAGACTTTCAGATCAGCCAAGCTTTTAGTTTCTCAAGCCAATTACTTATTGTTACCACTAGAATGACTATTAAAGCTATGCAATGAAAGATATTAAATTCATGCTGTTTGAATTTTATTAATAATATCCTAATGGTTTTTAAATCACTTGAAATTTTTTTTAAAATGTATGTAAGCCATGTGTAGTACACGCTTACATACAAGTATACTAGATGTCACCACAGCCAAGTAGCAGAAGAAGAAAGGAGAAAGCGTTTCTTGGAATTCGTCGTGAACTTATAAAATTATTAAAGTTAAAGTAACAATATAAAAAACATCAAGATAATTCTTATTTGTAAAAATTTATTAAGTTAATTTGTTAAAGTGATTAAAAATTGATTTGATTAATTCGTTTAATTGTAAGTAGACAAGAGAAGAGGAAGCACAAACATTTAATTATCGATTCTCTTCTTTTTAGGTTAGTATTCGCCACGTGCAATCTTGAATTTTATTATTCATTTTCTAAATAAAATACTCTTTTTTCTAGACGAATCAAATTGTGTTTTGCTCATCATCCCTTTCAATTAACATCTTATAAATCGATAATTAAATGTTTGTGCTTCCTCCTCTCTTGTCTATTTACAATTAAACTAATTAATCAAATCAATTTTTAATATGTATGTTGATTTATCTTAAATAGGTATGTAAAAACCTAAAATAAAGAAATGGTACTTAAAATCTTATTTTCCTTGGGTTTAGTTAATCAGTTTTCAGTGATTTTTTCAGAAATTGAAATTATTCTTACCCCAATCTTTTCTTGTAAAAAACATGTGATTGTCAAAATTTCAAATGGTGTGAGGATTCATAAAATTTGTACTACTTATAAAATAATTACTGTTTATTTCAGATTTTTGGATAGAAACAATGCGTAAGGTATCTATAATTGGTAATCAAGCTGAATCACTTCAAAATCTAGCAGCTACTTTTTTTTGTTACTGGATTTTTTTTCTGCAATGGTCATTGACCATTGTGGATATTTGCTAACTATAACCATTGATCAACTTACTTACTATTTATTATGAGGAAAAAATTAGACTCTGTGCTGGCTTGGATATAATTTGACAACTGCTTTTGGCAGATTTTATATCAATTTTATGTCCATTATGAAATATAAGAAGTGTTCTTTGTTTAATCATTATAATGATAATGATTTAGCAAATGATGCAGTTACCCTACCTCCATTGATCATACAATAAATAAATCAAGTTTGTGGAAATTTAAAATTATTAGCAAATTAACTGATGAAAATTATTATTATTAAATTTTATTTTTAATCAGCATCAGTTATTTTAACATATAATAGACCGTTTAACATTCAACACTTTGACCACAATATTAACTTGGATTGACTGCCAGTACCAATAAATATACCCTATGGTACACATGCTATCTGGAGCCATTGGACTTAATACAAGTCAATATAAGTCATCTTTATTGCACAAATATTCACATTATAGAAGTATTGAAAATATTTGGTGCTCAAAGATAATCAAATCATAAAAAATTTAATGCAAGTAACGTTACATATAAATTTTGTACACTGACGAATGTTAAAACTTTGGAATATATAATACACAAGTTTTTAGTTTTTGTAATTTATTAAGTTTCATGTTTTATAAAAATTTCCGTTGTGGTAATGTCCAATACTTTTACATCTAAGTCATCATTTACAGTACTTCAATGCACTTCAATAAGTATATTTTCTTATAAATTGTAAACTTATCCACTGAAATATGGCAGAGATTCAGAACTTCATGCTTATAATTTGGCAAAATTGTTTAAATCCGCTTTAAAAAATTTATTATTGATTAATTCACTTTATGATAGTATATGATAGTTACTCTGTAACTGATCTTACCTCTAAGTAACATGAAAAAGAATCAGAGTCTTGTTTAAATTTCATTTCCAATGTACATCAGCATGGAAGTGATCTTTGAACACAATAATGAAGCTTATTACGTAGATTAGAATGAGAAGAAGGTTTTTAATCAATCCTTTGGTAGCTCCGACGATGATTCTGGATATTCCGATTCTTCAGACCATGAGATACCTTGATTGATTTTGAAAATCGACGCTATAGTGCTTTTCTATCAACCAATATGACTCATGAACTAACGAAAAAAATTGAGATATCTTCTATAGTCTTAAATATTTTTAAGTATTAAATTATATTTCAATAGATGGTACTAAATTTATATTGATGAATCTAAAGGTTTAAATAGAAAGAGCACACCAATTATTTAAAATTGTCAAAAATTATTAGATGTAAAATTATATATTTATACTCAATTATAAAATGTAGATTCGAGGCTTTAAAACATCAAATAACAATAATCTTTTAACACTCATTTATTTTAGTAACTCACTTTTTTCATATGCTTATAATTAATATATTTTAATTCAATTTCGATAACATCATTGTGATTTTTTCTTTCAATGTGAAACCACCAAATTCTAATTGAAATTCAAAGATAAGGTATACTTAAATTTTAATTCTCATAGAAAAAGTGTTAAAAATACTTACGAAGATATTTATGTTTTATTTTATTTCATAAAATTTTACAACAACAACATTAACAGTATAAATTCAACTTTCAAAAAATTATTAAAATATCATAAACTTTGTATTCTATTAATCGAATTTCATTATTCGCATTTGAAAACGTTATACGTAATATTTTTCGTTGGAAAATTTTCGACTAGTGTGTAAAAATATCATTATGGTTTAAAATAATTATAATTCAAATACGTTTTCAAAATTAATAGACAGAAAATCTAAAATTTTCACCGATTATCTGCCCACATTGATGATTATGATGAATTGAATTGATATTTTTATACCAAAATTAAAGCACTGCATCTACTAAAATGACAGTTATTTTCTAAAATTATTAAAATTAATAATCAAGTCCTTGATTGAACGTCATTCATCCCAGAAGTATTATTATTTAGACATCAGAGTGAAAATTTTTTTTATAAATTTCAACAGCTACTACTTCTCAAGTAAATTTTGTTTCTTCTTTATATTATAAGTGATAATAGTAACATTTGAATATATGCTTTATTGCTTTTGTTTATGCATAGGAAAGTATATAATTGTTATACATGTTTGAAAATTGCTGTATAGCTAAAATTTATGAAGTTGAAGAATTTTTTAGTAAGAATAAACATGCTTCTTAGAAATAGTTGCGCTAGAAGTTTCATGGATCACTATCAATTTTGAGTTTTATTACTATGAAAGTATTTTGCATCTACATTAAGAAATTTTATTGATCATATAGAGTTGATAATGTATAATAGATGCAGGAGAGTTATTAACTTTTTTCAATTGTAGTAATAAAATTATCCTGTTATTACACATTAATTACATTTAATACTTAATACAATTTCCATATTCAATATTTATAGTTTTTTTTAGATTAAAAATTGATACTATTCATTCGTAATTCTGAAAATAATTATTATATTCCCATGATTATAAGTACAGTTTTTAATTAATTGGTTTCTAAGGAATTTTTGAATTTTATTTACTATATTATATGTATGATACATTATAGTTAAAGTAGGTTTTTTCAATTTTCTTAAATTTCTGTACTTATAATATAATCTGTGAACACAAGGATATAGATTTACATTCATAGATACAATGAAACTTAGTTTAATATATTTTTGTATTATGATTTATATAGAAATAGAAAAATCATCTACTCATCAAAGACCATTTTTATTAAATGACTTTTTTAACTGCAATATTAGTTATTATGAATGCGGTAAGTTCAACAACTTTTATCATTAACTTCATATTTTTTTATTTTAGTATGATCATATTATTAATCTATTCATTACTTCAAAATTTCTTTATGTGATTTATATCATATACTTTTTGTGATATCTGTTTGCAATTAAAATTTAATGTGAAATTGAACATAATCTTCCACATCTGTAAATAAATTTATCCTTAATCATAATTGACGACATGAGTTGATAAATTTAATCTTTTAGATAGGAAATCAAAATGAAGGCTTGTATATTACTTTTTGTTCATTTAACATATCGCATACTATAAAGTAGTACAAAGTGAAAATGACTAAGTGAAAGCAATTGAAAAAATTAATAATATTGTAACTGCTCATAAATAATCATTAAACTCATTACTTTCCAATTTTATTGTTTATTAAAAAAAAGATAAAATTTATCATGAATCTAAATAAACTAGATCTACTTATTTTCTCAAATATTTTGAGTTTTAATACATCTTAAATCTATAAAAATGGATAGAATTAAACTTTTCAGATTATCAGTAATCTTTCGAAAGGAGCTCTAAATGACAGATTATTCTGCAAATTTTGTTCTCAAAATATTTTTATGGTTTTTCGCTTTTGTTTAAAAGTTATTAATAACAACAAGATAGTCTATTTAAGAACGTGGTTGAATTATTCCTCAATAGTATTGCGATAAGCACTAGCAATTAATTCAAAGTGCAGCTGAGCAACAACTTCATATTTTGCGCAACACAATAAAGAGACTCGATGACTTACTTGAACATTTCTTTTATTAAGAAACTTCAATCGTACTTGCATTTAACTTTCGGCATAATTTCATTTGATTTTTATCTTCCGCATTCCTTTTCATTGTAATCAGTCAAATAAGTACTATTATAGCTTGCGAGCGCAAGAGTCTTTTTGCGGCGACGTAGTAGGTCTGCTAATTAAAAATTTCATAGCTTTGATTGTTTTTCAATACATTCTTATAATATGTTAAAAGTCAAATAATTATCTGAATTTTAAATGTATACTGCACTATATTACCGATAACACTAATCTCTTTTTAGAATTTGTTCTTTTTTAATAGTGTCATAAATAACATTTGTTTAAAGCATGCAGCTTCTATTGAAAATAGTTGATTGCAGCATTACAATAATCTTGATATAATATTATACAAAAATAAAAGATTTAAAATTTTCAGAATATTTTGACCTTCAACACCGAAAAATTCTATAATATCTATTTTCACATTCGCAAGATTTGTATTAAACTTAAATTTACCGTGCGAATGTTACCTAACAGATCTAAAGCTACGCTGCCGTTTCGAGACATCGACACAACTATTATACATTTTCGTATTGTTATTCAGTCTAGTCTCGCGTTGCGAAGTTAAACATCTTATTTAATTCATGGCACGCGTTTATGCAAATCAAACATTTGAAAATGTACTTCATTTCTTGCATTTCAATGCATATAGAAAAATAAAATACGTGTCAAACGTTGCTCATATTTTAACGACGGATGAATATTTTGTTTCTTGCACTCAACGCATTTTCAATTTACGTGTTGATTGATAAGTCAATCATTTATAATGGATTTATTGAGTGAATATTTTTATAAGTGAACCAAATAATTATATATATGTATATATATATATTTATTATATTATATAAAAACGATCAGCGACTAATTTGCGGTGCACGCAAACGCCGTGGATCCAGTTGACCCTAGAAGGTCCCCGGCGCCCACGACTCGATGCTCACGTTGCTTATTGATATCCATAGATATTAGCCATAATTATTTATTAAAAAAAAAAAAAAAAATTCAATCTAAATTTAGATATTGCAATTTGAACTTTGACTCATAGAATAAATTGATTGAGAGTAGTTGCCTTTTTTCATGTTTTCCGCAACAAATAGAACCTTATCAATTTTTTTTCGTGGAAATTACTACACCAACTTTTTAAATATATTTAATGAGTTTTTGCTGAAGATATGTTACAATTTGTTTTGTCAAACGAATAAAAAATCTGTTATTTGAGGAAGTACCAAAGCCAGCCTTAAATGACAAATATATTTTTTTTAGAATTTCACTGAATATTTTACGCACGCGTTTGAAAATGTTTACTTTTGCCTGGCTCCCGTACTCTAATAAGTTTAAAACGGATATTGTGGAATACATACTTTTACGAATTTATACTAGTGACGATCAATAGAAAATTGAATTTATCACTTAAATAAATAAATTTATGGAATGACTGTCGTCAAGCTTAAATATTATCAATTAAATTAGGTAATGTTGGTACAATTAATATACTAAATCAAAAATAATATTAATATTAGTTAGATATCATACCCCACAGCAAAAACAAATTTTATTTATAACGCAAATGTTTAAACATTTGTTTTGAATATCTCTGTTAAACTCTGTTAAAATCATTTTGTCAAGATAAACAATATGAACATAAGTATGATTTTCGTTTTCAATAAATTATATGGTTTTTAAAGTTGAAAGAATTTTTTCAAATAAATCGTGTATATATTTATGAACTTGTGTGTATGAGCCAAATATAATTAGTATTTTTTTAAAATTAATTGCAAGTAATTAGAATTTTACATAAAAGGAGCTTGAATGTTATCAACAAAGTAAATTATAGATGATAGCCAAACATGAATAAAATAAAATTATTTCAATGATCGATACACTGAACACATGGTCAATTGATTTGCTCAACTAATGTATACTTTCTTGAGATTCACAATTTTTGATTGCTCAATAATTTATAATTGTCCCTTATTTACATTACTTCAAAGATTTTCATTAGTAAATCTCGACGGACAGATAAATTTTCCAGTGTAAAAATACGATTAAGCTGAAAATAATATGTATTACTAAAATTGAAACATCACAACTATTCTCACAGCAAACAGTAGACATCAAAGGAAGGATACAAAAATGAAAGTACAAAAAAGTACATCGATAGTAAATTTAACAGTTTCTAATAAAACATAGTATCACACATATTATTGCGCTTTTCTGCTAATGTTGTACAATTGAGTAAACTATGGGAGCGATTATCAATTATACATCAGTCCTTCATTGAATTAAAATTTGAGCTTTTATTGACATAAGTTTCACGATAAAACAAATTCAGGGGTAGCAAATGAGAAAATATTATTAAAAATTAACGGATGGGATAAAAATAATGTAGTATACATGAGAATAAATAGAACACAGTAATTGTGTAATAAAGTGCTTCAACAATGATGAATAGTGAACGAGTATTAGAGCTGGATTATAATAAAATATCTGAGGTCGTAACTTTAATTTCTGACTTTGCTTTAATATTTTGCATTCTCTCTCGTTTTATTATGTAATTTTTAACCGTGGACGGCTCTTCTCATACTTTAAAAGCTGAAAAATTATCGACAACGTATCGCTTGGAGTCTGAATGAGCGCCGAAGAATGTGCGCCTGCGTCCTTTCATTATGACAATCTCGCAGCAGCTGGCTTTACAATAAATAACTTTAACTTTCTTTTTTTTTTGCAAAAATGTTCTCCACTGTACTAGTTGTGGCTAGTTTCTATCGTAGATTTTTGGCCAAAAGGAAATGTATTAGGAAAAATAAAGGGGATAAGGTAAATTTTGCAAAACATGAGTTGTGCTAAGGGACGCAACCGGCTTTTTGCCAATCAACTTGTAACGAGGAATGAGGAGACGATAGCTAGCGCCAGCTTTTCGCACTCCCGCCAAGGTCTTACTGTGCCTGCGCGCTTGGGTCGCACTGCAACAGCCGCACTATTGAGGGATCGCTTTTAGCACCCTCGATAAATTCATCAAGAGATAATTTACCGTCCTTATTTTTGTCCATTTGTCGAAAAATTTTGTCTGTGCGTTTCTCAGGCGTCGATTCATCTTCTGGCATTTTCATTACTGTTCCAACCATTTTGTATATTGCCTACAAAGTATATAAAACAAATACTTTAGTTAGTTTGTATCTCGAAAAATCAACATGCTTGGTTCTTGTGAAAAAAAAATATAAGGCATGTCTTATTATCGGTTGAATGCGGTAGTATTATACCAATTGAAAACAATCTAAATATTAATTCACTGAATAAGCCCAATCGATAAATTGATTCAATTTTTAGCTATGATTATCATATACAATTTCTCAATACAAACAGAGATTACAATAAATTATTGCCACTCACCGTTACAATTTCTAACATCTCTTGTCGAGAAATGTAACCGTTGCCATCAAGATCATACATGCTAAAAGCCCATTTGAGCTTTTGCTCCAATTTGCCACGCGATGTGACACTTAGAGCACAGAGAAACTCCCGGAAGTCAATAGTTCCATCCCCATTGGCGTCAAACGTTCTAAAAACGTGCTCTGCAAACTGATCATGAAAAATGAAAGTATTAATAAAATTATTTCACTTCTTTTTTTCCAATGTGAGAAATTATTAAACAAATATATTAATTGTGATAGTAAAAATATAAGATATTAAACAATTTATCACTTTTTGTGTTCCACGAGTCATATGTAAAATTATCGATGTAACAAAGTTAATTTTCAATTCAATTAAAAAATTAGCATAATTTTTTCGAAAAAAAAAATATTTCAATTATTACTGTCAAAAGACATTAATCTTGTTACTATTTAATGCCACTTCTCAAAGACTTGTTTATAGATGATTTAATTATTTGTTAATTTAAAATTAATTAATTATTTTTCAAATTTTCAATACATTGAAAATTGAGTAACTTCCGATTATAAGAGAAAATCTGGTTAACTGGAGTATTTAACCCAAATTAAAAAATTTTAATTAAAAAAAATTGTTTATGATTCAAACATAGAAATGTACGAACATTGTTTTCAAACCAGCGGCCCGAAAGTGACTACTTCCCTGCCGCTGCACAAAGCGGGAAGAGCGATTTTGTGTATGAAAAATAGTATACAGACCTATGCCGCGAAAAAAGAAAGCCCCAGAGTACGTGCTTATCGGCCTCGGCTTCGCCTCGGCCACTAATTACACGTACTCTGGGATTTTTCTGTTTTTCGCAGCCTAGGGCAGTAATATACTATTTCAACTTTAGTTATGGAACTAAGCTAAATTATTATTTCATCTGACTGGTATAGCAATTTAATTAGAAATTAACAAAAAATTATCACAAGACTTTTTTGAAAATTCAAAGTCCCGTCACCTATTAATTAATGTTTTCATTATCCTATATTATCCTTTGAGAAATGTCATTCAGCGCAAAGCTTTAAAATTTTAATGAAAATACGTAACATTAAAAATGACTCAATAAAAAAAACAAGCCATAAGAAGTTGCACATCAACAACAATAAGCTTTAGCATACGAATCGAAAAGTAACATTATCCAGTATCATACTGTAAGCTAGTGCTATAGAAAAATACTTTTAAATTTTCTAGTGATTTCTGAATGAACATCAAATAGTATGGGGCATTTTCAGATTGTAAAAAAATAGTCGCTTGGAGGAAAACAAACAAGATTTAGCATTTATTTAACCCAAACTACTGTTTTTTTTTATGTATTCAGTCAAATCAGTGACCATTTTATGATAATTTGAAAACATTGCATACTCTCACTTTATATATTTTCAGCAATATCATTACTGTCTTCGAAAATGTCTAAAAAATATTTATAGAACCGAATTGTATGTAATTTCGTACATAATGAAATAAAATGTAGTATTTTCAATTTTGTATTATATCTATTTTCATAGATAATTTTTAAATAGTCACAAAGTAATCACTTCAATACATTTCTTACAGTTAAAACAAACTATGTTTTGCTCATTAAATCCTTGTTTGTTTTAAATTCATATAATTTAGAAAATGGGCCACTTTGAGATCCTCCAAAAATGATACATTATAATTTCATTAAAATTAGTAAATCTGTCATTTAAACTAAACTTATTGTAATAATTACATTCAATTTCGATATATTGTTAAAATAAGAACGTATTTTTTTCTTTTTCGCTAAATATTATCCTCACCAGGAAACCGCATAAGATCCGAACAATAGACGTTTTTCAACTTTTTATTTTTTTAGGACTTTTGATTATACAGTACCATTATTTGTTATTTTGATCTATCCGGCAGGCTTTAAGGTATATTTTAATAATTTATTCAAAATTATATTGAAAAATTCATACTTATCAAACTATTTGTATAACTTACTTTTACCAGTTTTAAGTACAAGTAAGTTCAGAAAAGCATTCGTTTGAAGAATTTTAATATAGTTTTAATTGAATATTTAAAAAAAAGAGGTTAAACTACAATGGAGTTTGAACAACGAAGGAATATCTATTATCAATATAAATTAAAATTTTTTACTGCACTTTAGACTTTTAGATTCAGTATGGTAAGTCGGTACTTTTTAGATAAAAAAAACTAATTGAAAAAAAATGTCATCAAATTTTATTAGAATTTTTGGGGTTGTATATCACCTTTTTTTGAGAGACACAAAGTTGGCATTCTTTGCATTTTTCCGATATTAAACAATGATTACAAATTTCTAGTTCAGTGTAGAGTGAATTAACTTGAACAAAAAAGTACCAAGTGAGCTTTTTTGTTGAAAATTGGCTAAATTTTTAGAAAAATTATGTTCTTAAGGGGACCGACCTGTGTTAAAAGCTTAAATTCATATATTCACCTAAAAATAGCTATATAAATCGAAATAGTGGCAATTTTTTTTATACGATAATAAAATTTGTTCATTAGACACCTGATTGACCAAAAAAAACGTCTACCCAAGCTCTGAAATACCAATTACATAACTTTTTTCATAAGACGAAGTGTTGTGTTATAAATCCCTTGCCGCATGATCTTGAAAAGAGTTTTTCATCAATATTGATCTATGGGGTCTCAAAATCTTCAGAAAAGTACCCTCATCCACCTAAGCGGAGCAGAATTTTGAACAATTGCGTACAACTTTATATACACGTCAAAATTTGACAATTTTTAATTAGTATTTTTATCAACACTAAATACCATTTAAGCTCTTGGAAAAGAAACGAACTTTTTTTTCAAATACTGCTCCGCTTAAGTGGATGAGGGTACTTTTCTGAAGATTTCGAGACCCCATAGATCAATATTGATGAAGAGCTCACGTCAGAATCGCGTGGCAAGTAAATTCAATTATCACATTTAGTATTATGAAAAAATAGGCGTAATTGGCATTTCAGAGCTAGGGTAGAAGTTTTTTTTGGTCAATCAGGTGTCTAATGAACATATTTTACTATCTCAAAAAAAAAAATTTCCACTATTTCGATTAATATAGCTATTTTTTGAATTTAAGCTTTTAACCCAGGTCGGTCCCCTTAAGGGTCCTCTATACACGATGTGAAATGCTCAGTCGGCAACACCAGCTACCTAGTTATATTTATGTTCAGTCTGAAAAATTGGAAATGTTATTTGCCAATAAATGATTTGACGCACATTTCTAATACACTCATTCACATTGTGGTCGAGTTTTATCCGATTCCATGGATTATTCAAGGAGAAAAACGAAAACTACGAATAATCATAACCTATTAAATAACATTGATCATGATTATTCGTAGCATTTGTTTTTCTCCTTGAATAATTTATGGAATTGGATAAAATTCGACCACAATGTTAATGAGTGTATTAGAAATGTGCGTCAGCTCGATTATTTGTGAATAACATTTCCAATTTTTCAAATTTAGCATAAATAGGATGGTAGCCTAGCGTTACCGACTGAGTGTGTATAGAGAGCCCTTAAGGGTCCTCTACCACCTGCTACGCTCGTGCTTCACTCCACGGTACCTGAAACTGCGGCTTATGACTCGGAAAAGGGGGCATAAATGTGAACTTCTTTCTCTTAATACTCGAAAAAAGACCTATGCCTTATTTTTGGGGTATGGCATATTTTTGATAGAACAGCGTATGAAAATAAATAGTATAGTATAAAATTTATGGTACATAATTTTTATTCTGAATTGGAAAAATTAACTGGTTTTCTGAATATCATTAAAACTTATGCATTCTCATTGCAAATGAAAAAAATATCGATTTTTAAAGTTAAAAAAAAAGTTCTTTGACATCATAAAAATACTTTTTTAACATTTTAGAACGAAATCCGCAAAGAAAAAAAATTATAGCCTTTAACGCAAAGCGATTCGCACGCTTGTTATATATTCAGAGAGAAACTTTAAACGCTTTTTACTCAAAACCACTTTTTTCAACTTTTACCAACGATTAAGAGAAAACTATAAGGCAGATCCGTATGTTTCATATGAATTTTTAAGCGTTACATCTTTCTGTTGGAACAACCCTCTAAAAAGTTTGAAAAATCATCACTAAGTTTTTATTGCGAAAAATGAGCTAGGAAGCTTCAATCAAAAACTTGAAACGGTCAAAATTTATTAAAATTTGACAAGAAATTCAAAAAAAAATTTTCCAAATTTTTTTACCGGAACCATCGGGTTCCAGGAACCTTTTTTGTTAAAAATAACGTTTTTTGGCTCTAAAAGCTATCGCCTTCAATTAAAACATCTGAAAAAATTTGAGGTTATGTATTTTGATGAAAAAAACAAGAAAAAATTTTTTTCAGATTTTTCGAGGCTCCGTAGCTTCCTAAAAAAATTATTTTCGTTGGAAAAAGAGGTTTTTGGCTTCAAAAGGTGCGTTAGGTCATCTGAAAAAATCTGAAAAAAATTGAGAATATATTTTTCAATGCAATAAAAAACTTAAAAATTTTCCGTTTACTATATCGACTCATATCGCCGCATCTCGATTTTCAGAATTTTTAATGATTTTATCTGAAGGCCTCAAGCACTCAAAAAATCTGAAAAAATTCAAGGTTGTTTGGATTGTTGAAAAGTATTTTTATGAATTTTTTCAGATTTTTCAATTTCTTCATGTCCTCAGAAAAAATATAGATCGAAAATGGACGTTTATACCGGAAGTGGGGGGTAGCAGGGGGAGGGGGTCTAAAATTTTGTTTTTGTGACCTTTTTACCATGTACTATAACATACCAAAAGCGCGTCAAGATCGATGACACGCGTGCGCACGGTTTTGTAAAAAAGTATTATTTTGACCCATATAATAAAGAAAAATATCCATAAGCTTCGAATTAATAAAATTTATAGATTTCCAACAATTTTAAAAATGGTTTTTTTACCATTTGCAATGGGAATGTCCTTTTGATTAAACGTTGGGTATAAAGGTGAAATTTATTCAAATTTTAGAAATGCAGGCCTTTTTTGTTCATTTTTTCTCTTTTTTTTTTACAAAGTGAAGTGTGAATCAAAATATAAAATAAAATACATATAATTTATACAAGATAATGTGCTCAAATTGTAAAGAATGTGAAAGGCGAATGCAAGAATGAATACAAATATTATGATTTTTTAAATAAGCTAAAAAGCGAGCTACAGTAATCGACGTAAAAAAACTATGTTTGAGAAGCGTTAACTGCATTGAAGCAAAAAATGAAAAATAGTATCGATCAAACGTTAATTATATTCTGGTAAAATTGTACCTAACGAAAATAAAAAATTAATTCCGTCTTATAAAAGTATTATTTAAGTCGTATTTGTCCTCTTCATTTTGATGTTTTGCAAGTATCCTAATTATTGATAATTCAAATTTAATTCTTGGGAAATGGTTTGGACCGTTCGTTTTTGCTTCATATAAATAATCGTTTTGAATTTGAAAAAATAGCAGTCTTCGTATTACAGTGGAAATCGCATAATTAGAAGTCCTCGGGACCGCAATTCGATTTCGAATTATGTGATAATTAGAATTATTTAGCAGACACATAATTCTAATTTTGTCGAATTTTGTGATAATTATAATTTTTTTTTAATGCCAATGTTTTATTAGGAACCCATTGGTAAAATAAAGCACCTTTATTGACGTTGAAAATATCTTTCGCTTTGCGGTCCGAACTCATATCCTTTAATAATATTTTACAATCCTCGGCTTCTTTGAAATCATTTTTGTATTATTAAATTAAGAATTCTTCCATTTTTCAAAGTGATTTTTGTCTAAAAGTTGGATTCACGCACTCATAAACTTTGCAATTGCGTAACTTTTATGAGGCGAAACTAATTTTTATTTTATCCTTTAGGTGCTATCTTATCGCTCACAGTACTTAGACAAAAGTTCCAAAATAGTTTCAGACCGTAAATTTATAAAAAAAGTTCACATAGTATACCCGTTACAAAATAAATCGAACCCTTTCGTTCTTTTGAGAAAAAAATACGGGCTACATTAGCACATTTCATGTGTCTATGGTACCATGTCTATAGATGTACAAAATGTGCCCGAGGTAGCACGAACTCCTAAAATGAGGGGAAGGGCGCGAATCATTTTTTAACGCATGTACATAAGTTTCAAAGTTAAGCACAAAGACACATAGTTCAAAAAATCTTATTGTAAAATATCATTAAATTTTCTGATATATATTTACGATTCGAGTATTACACTCATCATTATAATATCTCTTACAATATAGCGCATTTGCATTGAATCAATTTATAGCATGAAAATATTTTAAAATGTTGTAACTTGGCAGGTCTGCAACTTATGTACATTGACATATTATAATTTTGAAACTTGTGTACATCGGTATTTGGTAAGTTTAAAACTAACGGTACTGGAACCTTGAATCAGGAACTTCTGTACTAGAACCATAAATTACGTTGTAAATAATAAATTGTAATTTTAACAAACTTTATCGTAAAAAGCACAAAGAATAAATCTCTTTCTGTATTATAACTATTTTTTTAAATCCCCTAAAAGTTTTCATATTCTTTAGCTTCATGATTATGGCTTAGACACTTTACCTTATTTCACACCACGTCACCAATAGTTTTCAAGGATATGATAGATAATAGAATTATATGATTTATTGGGATTTTATATTTAAAAAGATCTCGATGAGCTACAATAATTGGTTAAATTAACAGCAAAACTAAAGTTAAAAAATTTTACCTTTGATGCATCACCATAAGGAAAAAAATTTCCATAAATTTTTTTAAATTCTTCAACACTCAAGTGTCCACTAGGGCAGTCTTTTAGAAATCCTTTGTACCATTCTTGAATTTCAGCATCTGAAATTTTTTCAATATAGGTAACTTAGTATATAATTTAAAAAAGCATCTTTCAAATTCGCTCAAGTTTTTATTCCAATGAATTTTTTGTTGTGAACAAGTATTTTAGAGTATTATTGCAAAAATGTCAATTCACATTCATTGGAATTAAACTATTCATAATTTTTCTCTGAGAAAACAGTATTGCCAGCATAACAATTCCAAAGCTACACTATAACAAAACAAATTTTTTGCCCAGTTCACATATTTGTTTATTTGTACTAGCAAGTAGATCTTTTCGCCTCGCTTGAAAAAAATTTTTTCAATAATTAAGGTCTTAATATATAATTTTTAGCGGGCATTGAAAATGTTAATAATTTATTGTTCAAAAACATGGGAAATGGAAATACTATGACTACTACAATCCCAGCGACTTTCGACGTGCGAATGGTGCACAAAAAAATTATTTTTGAAATAAAATCTGTGTTAATCAATTCCAAAGTAGGTAAATAAAATTATTACATAACTATTTGAGATAATCAGACTGTATTAATAAAATAATCATCGACAATGCTCATATATCATACAAGGAGCAGCAAAAGTATGAAATCCCCTGAAAATGTTGTGACATACAAGTACAAATATATTAAAAACCTTAGATCCGACGTATTTATCGACAAGGATTTCTATGGTAATTTTGAATTTGACCTTGAACACATCTTCAAAGCTACCAAAATCGATTTTTCGGCGTTCCCATTTGAATCATCAATTTTTGGATCGCTGTGATTTACAGGTTATGTTCAAGGTCATATTCAAAGTCACGTTGGATATGAGATTTTTGTTATTTCATTAGTACGCTGATTCTTGGTCACAAAAAGCCCAGAAAGAAAAAAACAGGTGAAAAAAAAATTTTGATTTTTTTTGTTAAACTAATTTTTTACGATGTTAACAACATTTAAGCGAAATACTATGGAAAGAAGAGCTTTTCAACTTTCAGAATATGTAAGTTTTATTTTTCTTCATCGCTAATTGCGTAATTTATACAATTTCGAAGAGAGCTGAGTTGCTTGGGTTGTTTTGGACCGAAAGGTTTGAAGTATTTTTTCACGTTTTTGATCATATTTGATTGTTGAGCAACCTCTAAACATTGATTTTAAGGGCTAGAAATGTATGGAGTTTACTTTTTTTACTCTATAATTGTGGGCAAGCAAAAATAAAAATATTTTTTTTATTTTTGACCACCCTAATATTTAGGCACAATAGCAATGTTAGACACGTAGTAGCAATATGATTAGAGCAATATTTTTAATAGCCACCACTACTATACTGTTCTTTCAACGTGTTAATTAATTTATGATGGTTTTGAAAAGGTATGAATCACCTGAGAATTCGGTGTTTTGTTTGAGGTCTTCAAGGACCTCGGGTTTAAGTTTGCTGTTTTGTTTTCCCATTTTCAAAAAATTAAGACACGTTCACGTCTTAGTATTGTAATCTTGTATCCAAGAAAAAATTCTGTTTATTTTGAAATTAATCCTCCAAGCCTGCAAAAAGAAAATTTTTTATATAAACTCATGCTCAAAACTGTAAAATATATTGAATTTTTTATTCATTTGGAGACTGATTTTAGTCAGTTTGAGAAAGGTAAGGTAAGGAAATAATTGAATTATTCAAATCAGTCATTCATCATTCAAATAACTTATAAAAAATCTGAAACAAAAAATGAGTCAATGTTAAAATTAAGCAATTCAAATTTCAATATTTCGATCTTAGTGCAATTTATTTATATTTTTTTTATATTCACAATAATTAACGTAATACATTTGTTTATCGTCATATCAAGGGATACAATAATTACAGTTATTACTTGTATATCAATTAAAAGTTTTCAAAATATCAGTTAGGTACTGAATCCTGTAATGAGAAACTTTATACAAAATACTATTTTTCAAAATTCAATTAAATTTATCAAATCATTTTCATCCTACCATTTTATTGATCGCCATCGCGATTCATCTATAACTTAAAATCTGAATAACACTTTACAAAAAATTTTTGTTTCATGAAACCTAGAAATTTTATGTTACACTAGACTGACAATGAAATTTTTTTTTTTTAATCGACGGGACGCCCCCTCAAAAGTTTCAAACCCCCAAAATAGCAAAATAGCATTTGAGCTGAAATTTGGTACAGCTCATTTTTTTGGGGGTTTGAAACTTTTGAGGGGGCGTCCCGTCGATTTAAAAAAAAATTTTTTTTCATTGTCATTCTAATGTTACACCCATTGATTTTTCATAGAAAATTGGTGATAAATATACACGTACTTTCGAAAATAAATGATCAATAACTGCATCAAGGCTAAAAATATTGCTCTCCAGTTCTTGAACGTATTGATAAAATTTTTCAACTAAAAATTCTTGTTAAATAAGAAAAATTGGATTTGAACTAATATGAATATTAAACATTACTAATTTTTACCAAAAGTTGATGAACGGGTGAAAAAATTTTCTTTACGATTTTCTCACAATCGTAAAAGCGTCAACAATATCAAAACTTTGAAAATAGAAAATTTTGAGCAACAAATATTTCTTTACTGATAACATACATGTATCATTTTAGCTGAGCATATCAGTTACATTCAAACGAAATTAAATTGAACGTTAAATTTTTCTCTTTTTACACGTGTAACACCTGTTGTATCTAAAGAATAAAAATACAATAGTGTGAGTTGGAATATAAAATAACTAATGAACTGTAGCTAATTTTTTTCATTTTCTCTAAATCTGGTACGACGTTTACAGCTGATTTTTTTCGCTCTAGAACAAGAGAATTTATTACATGGCCTTGAAACTATTTTGTTTTATTTTAATCACCTTATTGACATTGTACCTTAATGGAAATGATTTTAAATAGAAATGCTGGTATAAATTTATAATACATGATAATTATAACTATTACCTTATCTAAATTTATTTTCTGTTCTTAAAGACAAAAACTTTTTAATAAGATTATTAATTATTTTAACGATCGATGTAATTATAAAGTTGAGACGAATATTTGATGAAAAATCTTAAGTTAAAACACAGAATGTGCAATTATTTATGAAGCTGCTCAAAAAAATGAAAAAAAAATTATTTGAAATTCTGAAATTTCTTTGAAGATTAATATTGTATTTGAAAATGTTTGGTTTTAAGTATTTTGAATATTTATTCTATAAGATCGAAAGCCAAAATTTTTGACTTTCAGATATATTTCAGGCAGTAAATTGTATTGTATAGTTTTAAGTCATATAATTATGTTCATTCACATTAAAAGTACCTTAAAACTATAAGTATTGATAATTGATTTATATTAGTGAAGGAATCAATAAGATGGATGGAATTAAGAGATTTAATAATCAACATTTACGTCATTAATGATGAGAATTTGAAAAACTAAATTCGATTATTAAATATAGATTGATTCACAATTAGAAAGAATGAATTTTTGAGAATATTTAGAAATAAATTTTCAGCTCAAGTTCAAAGTTGAAAAACATAATGTATAATAATTTATTGGATTTGAAAATTCTTAGTCAAATTTTGTTTTCCGATGTTAATACATAGAAATTTTGTTAAATTTTTTTTTTTGTTTTCATAGAGAAAATTAAAAAGTATAAACTCATATTTGATTGGAATCAGATTAAATATTGAGCAAATACAGTAATACAGTAATACGTGAAAATTTTAAGTTAGAAGAAAATCACAAAAATATGATTTCCAAATAAAATTAAAAAAAAACATACAAATCGAACATCAGGGAGTAGATGATTTACACATGAGAATTGGAGTAGAAAAATATAAAGTACAAAATTGGGGTTTATGGGAGCATATGTTTTATATCAACAACTCGTTTGATCTTTAGTGATGAATTCTACTTTTACCTATTGATATTGCGAGTATTAAATTGACGTTTGGTGGTATAAGGATCATTGTGTCAAAGATATTCATTTTATACATACTTATCATTAATCTGCATTCCAAGAGAAACAATTTTTTGTAGAATAATTTAAAAAATAAATATTTATAAAATGAGTATCCCAATATTATTATTCATTCATGTATTTATTTATTTTTTGACAAATTATTTTAAATAATTATTAGTAAGACAAAGTGTATAGTTCAAGCCAAAAGTAGTAGTTTGAATTATTCTTTCAGATTCTCACACATGCAATATACATTGTATCTCGATTGTCAATGCTCAACTTTCTTGTTAAAATTTATTTTTATCTTTTATACTTCATTTTGTGTATCTGAAGTAGTAATAAATTTACTTCAAGGGCCAGAGAGTTTCAATCGTTAAAGAAATTAATTTTCGAATGCATTATAACTATAAAATTGTTAATAAATTTTGTTTGAATCTCTTGGAGAACCCTCAAGTTTCATCAAATAACGGGAATCAATTTGATAGTTTGATTCAGAATTTTTATGATTCAAAAATAAAAACACTCGAAATTATATATTTTTATTTTACAAAATTAAACATTCACATAAAAAAAAAATTCGCTCTTCTGAATGACGCAATAAAAAAACGTGAATTTTATGTTAAGTAATTAAATCGATTATTAAAAAACATAATTTCGTGTACTTTTTTTAATTATCTTTATAACGTGATATAATATTTTAAATTCATTTCATAATGTTTTTTACAAGTATGATTAAACTTCTAAGGCCAGTTATATTTTTGAATGAAAATTAAATTTTCGAAAATGCTATGATTGGATGGAAAAGTTAGTCGATTCGCTTAAACTATTTTGGTCTTTAATTTTTATTTGAACACCGGCATTCGCATACAGTTTAAACATTCTAATTAGGCGCTTTTAGAAATGTTTGAATTGCTTTTTTTTATTCAACTTCTATAATAATATAATAATATTAATTTTATTTTTTTTAATTCAAGTATTAACTGATTGTGTTAGTTTTTTTAATAGCGCATGTAATATTAAATTTAAAAAATTGAAAAAAAATTTTTTCAAGTTTAAATTATATGGAATTCTTTGAGGAAAAATTTTTTTTAAACTGTCAGTTATATGGAGAGCACCAGTATATAAGTACATGAATTTTGGTACTGCAGCCATGCAAAATTAAAAAAATAGCATAAAATATTAATACTTTTCATACACATATTCAAGTTTATAACTGTTATGTGAAATAACCACACATTTTGAGAAAGATTATTTCTTCGTGAGATTTAAAGAAATGATTTAAATCAATCGCATCGCATGTGATGTTATTTGGAAGCGCAAAAACGGAAGTAACACCTGTATACAAATACATATTTTAGTACTAAATTTTAGGTATAGATTATTATTTATAGTTAATAGATGTATAAATTTAATATAATTATTCATAACATAGATATAGATGTATATTTTGATTATTTACAAAATCTAATATTTTTTCTGAGAATATTTAAACTTTTTCGTGAGTTGGAATTGTGTCATGAGCTATGAACGAAAAATTATTAATATGTGTTTCAACCTAAAGTTGAACAGCTTGTATATTTTAATTTTTTGATAATAATTACAAGTCAACATTTATATTAAAAATTCTTTACACTTAATACAAAAATTGCTGACTAGTGTATGTAATAAAATTAAATGAATTGTAATGTGAAATGTTTAAATATGTTGTCATATGTTAACATTTCGCATTAATTTTCCCTAGAATCAATACACTCAGGGTGTACACGATTGCATGAGTAATTATAAATATTTATGTAGAATCTTATTGGCTTGTTGGAGATAATAATAAGATAATGTTTTTACTTTTATATTCAGACAGTAACAAATCACCTTGACAGATATCATATCATCATTATAACGTAAAAAAGGCATACCGTCTTATTGGAGGAAGTTACAATATAAAGAACTATGAATATACATGTTATATAATGTGTTAATGACAAGCTTTACAATTAAAAGCTGTAGCTTACTCGAATTAAATTCGATATATCTTATCGAATTAAAATTTTTGTTCGTAATTTTAATAAAATAAGGTTTATAATATGAAAAGCGTAATGTTTGCTCCATTCTATACCATGCACGAATAGAATGAAATTGTCACATATGCATTAAAACGAGGAATTCTTTGATCAAAACTTGAGTGCTTTTAGCACAAAATAATTTCGAATTACGCATCTAAATTACTTTTATCAATAGTATTTTTCTGATTTGTTATGCTTAAATTATTTTTAAGCATTTTAAATGGGTTATCTTATTTAAAGAGCACCATAAATGTTGAATTTTCATTTTGTTTCTGTGTCAAGTGCATGGCAAAATTGTTCCATAAATATCAACCGTTCATGATTTATGATTTTATACTTTGTAATATTATAATAAATAGCTAACATCTTTTCGAGTGATTGAACTGGACACAAATTTTTAGCAAATTTTTTCTTCGTTATGAAGAATTGTAAGATTTGTCTTGTACAATTAAGGACCATGCGTGATTAAGGAGCAAGCATTTTTGAAAGTTCTTCGTCTTGCAGACAGCCTTTGAGAAATTCGTCTTGTGTTAATTGACCATCGTTATTTTCATCCATTTTAGCAAAAATATTTTTTGCTCTTTCTTCGGCGCTGTCAGCTGGTCTGTTGCTTGAACAAGCACCTAACATATCATATATTGCCTGTACGAAAATATATAATATTTGAGTACATTTTATCAACAATTATTTCTAAACAATTAGATTTCTTAAAAGCAAAAATAAATTCTATCGAGTATAAAACACTTTATGCAATAAATATTTATACAAAAAGGGCCCAAAATGTATTTGTGCACACTGCGCGCAAAAAGCTAGGCATGTGGCATTCTAGTACTAGTATGATATAAGTGCCTATTAAGAAACCCTTATATTTTCAAAGTTAATACCTGAACTATTTTGGTCATTTCCTCGATGTCTATCACGCCATTACCATCAACATCGTACATTCTAAAAGCCCATTTGAGTTTTTCTTCTGGCGTTCCACCTGACGTTACATCGATTGCAAGTAAAAATTCCTGCAACAAAAATTACCATTTATCAGTCTTATTTAATTATTTTATGTTCGACGCATTTATTCAGAAACTAAAATATCCCATACACTGATAGAAATAAGAATTTAATGCCAAAAATTATCTTGATCTTGCGACAAGAATCGAGTGATTCAAGATCAAAATAATTCTAGGCATTAGATTTTTATTTTTATCAGTGCAGTATTCTTGTTTCCGTTTACATTCTCATAATAAGGTAAACGGGTCCTCACATTAAGTAATGTATTATTCATAAAATTTGTTCAAAGTTTCACTTATAATTAATAGAAAATTATCAATTTGATCATTAGTTAGTATCAATAAAATATAAGTTCGAGGTCAATTGGAGAAAATAATTTTATTATCTATCTATCTATTGTGACGGGAGATTCTCGCTGCACATCGAGAATTCACACGCACGCATTGGCTCGAACACGCGTAACATACACACACAAACACACGTACCCACACGTACACATACACACATGAAGACGCAAGAAGAGGCAGCGGCAAAGCAGCATCGACAACGGCAACGCAGGCACGAGATGTGCGCAGCTAGGAATGCGGACGACAAGCTCAACGCATCAGCGAAGCTCGATCGATATTTGCAAAGTCGGAGCTTATCGACAGCGACTCGCTACGCTTGCGCGTGCGATCACCTATGAGGCCCACAGTATCGGAGATAGCATCGACAAGCAAAAGGACACTCTGTTTCACGCTCGACACGTGAACATCGGTTCGGGAAAGTTCTTAAGTATTCGGAGCGCACAATCGAATTCGTCGCTGAGACGCCGGCAATCGACCTCGACAATCCAATACGAGGAGCCGACTTTCGCAAGTCCGAAACTTTTCCGATCGCAATCGATAATTCGTTATCTCATCGGAGTGATCCAAGCTCGTTCGGATCATTCGACGAATCGTGACCCCGGTGGTAATAACTAGTGCCAAGTCAACCTGGTCCTGGAGAAGCTACTCATAAGTGCCGCCTGTTGCTATTGCCAAGTCGACTCCAAGCAACATCGAGAGGGTCAAAGGATTTGACGTCGCCGAAGAAGCCGGCCTTCGTTAAGTTTAAATACACAATACCCACACACACACACACCTTACACTATCGAACTATCGCGTATCGCGAATCGCGTCTTATTATTTATTAATTATTGGAACTCACGCCCTATGAATATAAGCTCGAGAGTCTGCATGCTCTACATGCAGTGGCGCCCCGAGCACCTTGTATTTAAGTTATTTTGGAATCATACAATATATTTTTCATCATTATTTATCTATCAAATGATTGTATTAATAATTTATTTATTTCGATTACCCACTTAAATCCCTCACACTATCTATCTACTTATAAAAAAGAGGTGGATCTCAAAGTGAAGCACCGTAAAACAGTCTCTGATTGGCTGACACAGACGGCGACGCTTGACGCGAGCCGACTCTATACGAGCGCTTGCGCTACTAACTGTCAACAGACAGTTAGTACCAAAGTAAAGTAACCTCAAATCACGAGTGAAAAATTTGAAGCGCGTTTGAAGCATACTAGTGGTTTAAAATTGATCAAGTGAGCCTAAATAGCGCACAACATAATTGGGGCACTCTAGAAAGCAGTACCTAATTATTGAAACAGTATAGATTAACATCACCATTTGATTTGTGGTCCATTACTGAGTCTGTTGTCGATTTCGTTATCCTAGTCATAGAATGTGTAAAATTTTTATTTTTGAAACAAATGGGGCCAATGATATTCTGTTATAATTGTTTTATTTAATAAATGTAAAAGTAAAATTCAAATTTGAATGCGTGAATTTTGATATCAATTAAGAATATAGTTGAACTAGTGACACATTCATTTTGAAGTTTTATGATTTTCAGAATACTTAAGAACTTTCCCGAAGTAGATACATGAGTTTAAAAAAATTTTGTATAAAAATCGTTTCAATATTTGGCCGTTTATATTATATAGAACAAAATTGATTGTGGATTAAAAATGTGTTAAAAATGGGTTATTTTGGTTGTCGAATGAATATTTCCATGATGTTATTATACTTTAAAATGCATAAATAATATATTAGAAATCTTTATTTTTTTACAAAAGTTATAATATATTATGGGCTACTTCGAAGAATACGTGTTCATTTCGCGGATAATATTGGAAATTTCGATCCATTTCAGCGGCTACAGTTGATATACTATATAGTAAATGTAGCACAGCCTTGAATGCTCACGTAAGGACGAATTGCAGTTCACCAACAATTGCAACTTGTAAGAACAATATCAAGACTATTTATTTATTTATTTATTTATTTACTTATTTATTTACTTATTTACTTATTTATTTATTTATTTATTTATTTATTTATTTATTTATTTATTTACTTATTTACTTATTTATTTATTTATTTATTTATTTATTTATTTATTTATTTATTTATTTATTTATTTAATTTTTTTTAAAGTACGCGAAATCCCTTGTTTAGTTGAAATAGACACGATTTTTTGGGCATTTTGCGTACACAAATGGTACCTTCAAAACAACCTACAGCAAATTATCGTAGAGAGCTCTATTTTTTTTCAAATTACTCGTTGAAAAGAGTACTTTGCGATGGTATATGTTAGATTTTGATAAACTAATTACTGTAGTCCATGGATACGTTAGAAATATCGATTTTTTTCAGTAATTTTTTGTGTTGCACTCAAATACTACTGGTAACTCTATATTGACTCGAACCAGTACATAATATATATGGAAGACAACATTTCTAAGAAATCGAAAAAAATTCTTCTCGATACGATGAATATAGACCAAAATAGAAGCATTTGAAAATTGACGAAATTTCGATGGAATTTTGTGTTGCGATAATTTTTCTGAGTAGTGTATTTTACAACATTCGAACATTTTATGGTCACAAAGTTGACTAAAAATCGAAAAAATGATACTTGATATTTTTCAAGAATTTTTCTTTGCCTGGCTAAACCTATTTTTGAAGTTTAAAAAATTTTAATTTTACATGAGATGTACTGTTTCAGGACTTTTTTTTTATTTACTAACAACAACCTTTCAAGAATTAAGTAGAAATTAATTTGATTAGGCGAGTCTTTATTTGACGCCATTCAAAATTTAATTGAAAATAACATTGAATTAAGTTACTCCAGATCAATTACAAAAGGAATAAAGTGAACGACGAAAAAGGCTATGAGTTTTGTGATAAAGCTCGAATCTTAACCTGGTGGTTGTTAAGTCGGGTGGACGAACGGCCCAGTAGTCGAACTGGGTCACTTGCTCCCCGAGGTAGATTTATAAGACTTCTCACAACGTATAATGTCGAAGAAAGTAGGTGAATTTTGAATATAGAGTTGTTCCACCGTCGAGGTTTAAAACAGAGCATGATGAATCCAAGTCGAATGAAGTACTGACAGTATAAGTGGTTGCTTAAGTATGAGAGCGAGGCTGTAAGTCGAGGGGGGTCGTATAAGAAAAGAGTCAACAGGGAGTAGCACGAAGAAAATAAAAAGAAGAAAAAGGAAAGATTGCCACATCTTCGGATGCGAGGATGAAGCGAAAAAATGAAGCATGTCAAATGAATGAGGAGTATACGAAATGCATTAAAATTTTTTGATAGTAACTATTACTACAATATAATAAAAAACTTACTTTTACTGTATGAATTATTACATGAAAACTTCAAGTTTTTCTAGATAATTTCAATTTTTCAGAAATATCAACAAAACTTTATCATAGTCTTTAAACAAATTCAAGTAAGCGTGATATAAGAATCATTACCAGAAAGTTTTAAAAATACTTCCGTGGTTGGTTTGCAAAGATTATCGAGAAAATAATTTTGAAATTGTTTGCTTTAAAATTGAAAGTAAATTAATTCCTCAAACTGGTATAGTATATTACGTGCCTAGGCAGCGAAAAACTGAAAAGCCTCAGAGCAGGTGCAATTATCGTCCGAGGCGAAGCCAAAGCCGATAAACATGTGCTCTGAGGCTTTCTTTTTCGCTTCATAGGTGCGTATACTATTTTTCATGAATCCCCCAGCAGAAATTTCGTTTTGGTCACCGGGACGAAAAAGGTTAGTTTCGGCTGGGGTAGCATGAAAACATTTTTTAAATATATTTAAAATTTTAGAGGATCACGAGAGGAAAAGTTCAAAGACTAGGAATTGCATATATTCGCTTAAATCTCGACAAATTCATTGAATGAACTTAGCTAAAGAAACTTTAATCATTTCGATAAAATTTATTGTTGAATTGAAATCCGTCACAGTGCTAACATTTGAGTTATAGGGCATAGAATTTTATACAACTCTCATCATGTGAAAATGTAAAATGCATTTTAAATGTTTATTTGTTTATTTTGTCCTTTCTTTTAGTAAATTTTGTATAATAAAAATATATATACTTCAAATTACAATATCAGTAATAATCGCAAGAAATGTCAATTTAATTCTTGAGGAGATTTTTTTATTTCGAACTCTCTAATTATTTGAGGAATTGGCGTACTCAATTCCAAGACAAGTATTGAATAAACTAACACCGCGTAAATTATTTTTTCAATAGATATATTATTATTTTATAAAGTAACTCCAAAATGGCAAAAAATTATTGATTGGTATTGCGACTGTATACTATTATGTTAATACCTTATGTTGGTTGAGTCGATTTCAATTGTTAAATCCAATTAATGTTATACTTAATGTTCTAAAATTATAGCTTTTGAGTTTGACATGTGGAGCATAAAAGGGGAAATCATATTCTCTCACGGAAGCCTATGTGGATTGAAAGTACGCCACACGCATAATAGCTCTCATCTATCGCAATGAAAATGTATGAAACATATGGTGTAATGATTTATTCATCGAAATTTATGCATCGATTTATTGTTTCGATATAAGTCGTTATGTAAATTATCTTTATACTATGTGAAATTGAGCTTATGTGTGATATGAAAAAATTCTAGGACAGAACATGCAAATATTCGT